CCAACCAACATTTAACGAAGTTTATGAAAAAAAACGAAAACTTCTCAAATAGCAGTCGAACCTATGAGCAAAGAGTTCAACGCCATCCCCGGAAGATTTCGTTTCATTTTTTCTATATAGCCCGCCTTCAAATATGCTCTACGGATCCCACTACTTCTTGCCTCCATTCGTTCCCTCAGACCCATCGTCCACGAAGGGCTTCCAATTTTCCACGTCTTGCTTCTGCTGCTGCTTGAGCATTTTTCCTTCAATCATGAATCTCTTTGAAAGCTGGTTGAGTTGACTCTCCCTCGAGTCCTGGGATAGCTGTGCTAGAGCGTTCCTGCATGGGATCGAGAAAGTGAGTTACGCCAAGGCATGCCTGGCATCTAACTCCGGTTTAATGGAAGATTTTGTGATTTTAAAATGTGGTCGAACCACCATCGTGCTGCGATGAACGGCACCCGCCCCTGCTGCTGTTAATATTGATGCCAATCACTACCACTTCCCACTAGCATTGATGACAATATTTGCATTTGGATGGCATTATCGTAAATCTCGGCTAAAATCTTTCTGTTGTATGCCATGACTTATCGCACACTGCTGCAGTCCGATATATCGCAGTATCTGATATTTTGCCATAAAGTCGATTTTTTCATCACGCCTCTTTTTTGTGACAATTTCACCAAGAGGATTGGTTAAATGCCGTGAAGGCAGCACGCATGGGCGGATATGATCGAAATGGTGGAAACGACCATCGGCTGTATTCTTTCCTTAATGAAAAATTTTCCTGTTTGCAATTTTTTATGCACAGTTCTGTCCAGCTATTTGTTTACCTATTTTCAGTGTCAACACATTCGATATGATTTTTTACTGGAAATAATTGTTAGTTCAACCCCTCCTCGGATTCACCCAGCCTCTCCAGGTCGGAAATTTGGTGCCACATTTGTCTGGGAAAGGTTCACTCTCTCCAGCCCAAGTAGGCACACTCCATCCCGGCCATATCAGCACTACAAGGAAAATCTACTCAACCAGCATTAAACGACAGCCATGAGAGAAGGAAAAATCCTCAAGCATCACCCAGACTTACACGCAAAAGAAATTTCAAAGACCATCGTGGATGATGGATGGAAGAACACGAATCAAGTAGAAGAATTGCTGGGATCCGCACAGTAGACGTGTAGGGTGGATAGTGTTGAAAAATTGCATTCATTCATCTTCACTCAAGATGAATCTCCTAAACTTCTTGATTTTCTCGTAAATTAGGACATGGCCGTTATTGAAAAATTTATGAGCTTGAATGATATAATTAATAGCTTTGCCATTTCTCACACTCTTCTTATCCACTGGTCCAGCTGTTCCTTCCTCATATCTTGATTTTCAGATGATTCATGTCGATTGTGGAGCGTAGGTGAGATGAATCTTCGGCGCCGACCACCCACTCACCATTGATGGTTATCAAACCGCATTCTTTGAGTCACCTTAGCCAGTGTCCGATTTTGTCTCTTAAATCCAATCCTATCAGAAACACTAGTCAATTGTTTGTTTTTGATTATTTGCTTTTTGCCACAATTTTCAAGTGGTTTCTTTTACTTCTGCTTTGACACAACAACTGACCAATGTAGGAGGCTCACGGAATATTCCAAGGAATACGGGACAGTTGCGAATCTGCTTGCATTCTGTTAGCGCATTTGAACCTCCAAAAAATTTTTTTCGATGACCATCGACTTTACGTTAAGGTTCAGTTGGAAGGACTACGAAAAGGAGTGTTTCGCTGACAAGAACAAAATTCTTTTTGAGTGGTATTTACAGAAGCATGTGGGTTAGAAAGCGGAAGCAGAAAAATTAGTGAGTATTTGCCAACTAAGACACCTAGAATCGAGGGTCGGACACTTTCGATGTCAGCTTCTCCCGGGGTTTCCGGATACCAGATAGTGGCCGCCGGGTGGTGAGGCTAGGCGAGGCCCGGACGCCACGCCCCATGTGGGCGTGCCCGGCCTGTCCTTCCGCCACGGTCGCGCTCTTCCAACACGCCATTTTCTCCCGCACAAAACGAACGGTTACGGTGGCTTTTGAAGCCCACCGACTCCATATTACTAGACCTTTAGTGCATAGATTTATTCGTTTCGAATGGTTTTTCGATCATCCGATTGCGCTCCGATCATAATCATCAAACTTAGTAACCACGAAGCTCACCTATTCTCCCCGATCTTGGCCTTCTTGTTTCCTGAAAAAATGAAATTTGCTGATCTGGGACAATATATAGACTTTAGTGCTACGTTTTAGCTGCCTATCACAACCATTCAATTATGAGATGGATTTGACAATGTCGTTTCTCCGCTTTGCAGTTGAACTCTGTCCATCAGAGTCATGTTGTTACAAAGCCCTATAAAGTTTTTCTTTGAAATATTTTAGAAAGCGTCTTATTGCTCATAGTTCTCAAAAAATAGTTTTTCACTGAACTTTGAAGTATTCCACGAACTATTGCTCTTCACGAGATCTTTTTCGAAGTGCTGAACAAGATTTTGTGCAGTATGCAAGCGAGAATGATCGTAATTTTAGTTTTATCATTATTGTTAAAAGGTGGCAGTAAAAATCCACATTTATAGTCTTCGTAGTAGATTGGCGAAACATTAACGAGGCAATTTAACCTTTTTTTCTTCATTATTTGGCAGAATTATTTCAATCATGTTTGCCTTTAGTGACTTAACAGTCATTTTGCTCGACGACAGCCCGAAGAGGGTCGTTCAGACAGAGACTGGTACTGGTGCATTAACCGAGCATTTGCTTTATTCTGACTTGTGCCGCTGAAGTTTACGAGGGTCTTCTCTTGGTAGGAAATTTTCAGAGCTCGGAAGAGATGAAAGTTAGATGGCGAATTGTTCATTTTGTAAGTAGGATGTGTGTGTCACGGCTTGCCTCCATGTGGAGAGTCTCAGCTGCTGAGGAGCAGTGAGTCCCGCGTGCCATTGAGCACTGCTGTGGTGAATACAGGTATGGTCTCTCTGGTTGTTTCTCACAGTAGCAGCCAGCTTGAAACCCAAATTTGTGCAAACTGCATCGAACTACTTGTACCACTATAGCAATTCCACCTACACCGTACTGCAGGAATCGCCATGTCAGAACAAAAACAGAATATTTTTGCATTGATGTGGTTTGCGTTTGGTACCTGCTGACGGTTTCTGCCAATTCGTCTAGTTCCTTTTCCAGCTTATTGGCTATTGGCATCCCGTCATTTTTGACGAAAGTATACTGGGCATGCTCGCCAGGAGTGCTGACTCTCGTGCCACAGCCAGAACAGAGCAAAAGAACCAGTAGGACACGCTGGAGTCGTAAGCCGTGCTTTCGCTTAATGTACAGTTGCCGCAGATAGTGTCAGCACGAGTGCTGTGACATCGCAGGCGCTTGTACGAGGTATTCACTCGAGTTCTATTATTATTATTATTGAAAGTCGTTTTTTAAGATTTGTTCTTCTTGTGCGTAAAACCCATTTAAAATATTAAAGTGTTTTACCAAATTCTGCAGTTATTTCCCACCAACCCAAAAGAAAAAAAACAGTATTTGACACCAAGTCGCTGTCTTTGAATCTACGACCTCATCACCTTATACAGTAGTAGTCAGAAGTGCATTAGAAAAAGTCTACGTTCTCAGACCCGAGGCCATCAACCTGACCTCATCTTTTTTTGTCAGATTTACATTCCATATCGATTAGTTGTTAACGGAGGGAATTCCAGCATTGCTGTCGTCTCGCACCTGGTGATCACGAGGCCACCCCTCAGTTTTTTCAAATACTTGCCCTTTCCGGTGTTGATTTGCCGCATTGAAGAAGAAATTCAGTATCGAGCTTTTCGCTTAATGGGAAAGTAGAGTGTGATAAGAAAGCCGCTGTCGTATCACTGAAGAAGGCGTGTATGAAGGTAATTCTCATTCACTTACTCAAACCTCAACTGTCCACTTTTACAAGAGATTGAAATCCTTTCGTAAGTACGTGAACCCACAAAATGCCGCAGCATCTGAATGTTGTAAACATTACCACAGAGGACTGTAAGTAGAAAATAAGTAAAGTGCTAGTACCGGTTTAAATCCGCCTATGAAATGCATCAGAATTTTCTAAGCCGATCGAGATGTTCAAGCCGGCTACGTCAATATTTCGAGTTGACGCACTCCCTTGGGCGAGCAAAAACTCCCATGAAAACGATACTAGGCCTGTTCGTGGTTTTTCCAGCGATCGCCGTCCTGTTCGTCCGGCCGGTCACGCAGAGCGCTTTGTTACCGGCTCAGTGCTGGGTATTTACAGCCTAACCGCGATAATGCGCGATACGGTAGGCGACGAAGGCGAAAAGCCGACGGCAGTCCTGCCTCCACACCCGCACCCACTCCGCGCCCGGAACGCAGGGTTTTCCACGGGGTATTCAAATTCCCCTTACTCTCTTTCATTTTATAAATGTGTGACATAAACGTTCAGACGATTTGCTTAAAAGGAATTTCATACTTGTTTAGTTCTCTGTACAGGCACTGCTCCTTTCTCACCATCAGCAAAGCATGTCTTGTACATTAGTTGCTGAAAAGGATTGAAATGATTGATTGGCGGTCAATAATATCCGCTGTACTCTTAAAACCCGAATGTCACGTCTTCAGTTACATCGCGCCATTCGTAGCAAAATCTTTACTTGAATGGTAATTTTCTGGTTGCCCGAACTCTCCGTGTAATCTTAAGATGGCAGTGCTATAGTCCTTGTACACATTTCAAAGAAACTAAATTAAGAAGTTAATCAATAAGGAATGTTCGATATCTGACCTTTTCACTTTCAATTCAGCTTTTAATACAGTGCCTGTGTTCAATTGGAATTCACAACAACACACGCACTATTTTTAATAGGGTAAATTCTCATTTCACCATGAAACGTTTCATGTCGCTGTGTTGTAGCTCGCTGTCGCAGCTCGCGACTGTGTTGTGATTTGTATGCGTATTGATCTCCGTCGATTAGAATGCGGTTTCAGACATTGTGGCGGCGAAATTCGGCATGAACGTGTACAACAACGTGCACGATTTTTTGCGTACCAACAAAACTCCGGTATTGGTACGTCTGTTTCGGTTTCTACAGAGGAAAGAATCAGCTTTCTCGCTGCCATAGAAATTAGTTTATCGACTATCCACTGATACAGCCATTTGCGATCTAGTAATTATGAATGTTCAGAAATCGAGCAGTCCAAACATTTTCTACACAAAATTACCTGAACATCATCGCTCCAACAAATCACTGCCGTCTCCGTTTACCGTACTCATTACGTCGCCGGTGCCAGACGGAACAATCGGTATTAATCGATTCTATCGATTTGTTGCTCATAATGTTTTCCGACATTGATTGACGTGATACGCTAGTTTCGCCAACACCTGTGGCTATACTTGCTCTTATCGTGTTCATCAAAACCTCTACATCGAATTGTTTCAACTCGAAAAAAGCGCAGTATGGCACGAGACGTCACGATGGAATTCTCCTACCATGAGAGGCTTCATCTTTTGTAGCGTTCTCTCTCACCACCACCTTCAAAATCACAAAACAACAAACAAACGAGTGGTGAAAGAGTTAGCAAGGTTGCTTTGCAACAATGGTATCGAAGTGGAGCGAAATTAATGCGTATCGATTAACATCCAGTACCGACCAAAGCCTAAATTACCCATGGTTTTGAGAAGAGTTTGAGAGCAAGCACGGTTGAAGGCTTAAGTCGATCATCAGTCACGTAGACCATACTGGACTCAAGTTCTACACGAGAAAGTACTGCCATGCTTTATTGTTGTTAGTCACATTTTATGCTCTCCTACTTTTTCCCACAAGATTTGCATTAACAAATCTCTTCTACATTAAAAATATCATGTTCCTAGAAACGTTGGCGGAAAAATTAAAGGCTAACTTTGTTGGAAGGACCCAACACACCATCAGTTCCCATTAAATAAACTGATTCGACCCGATGCGACCATGAAGGCCCACATCGAAAGAATCGACTCCAATCGTTGCGACTGTGAAGAAAGCGAAGACGCGGAAACGTTAACCGAATAAAGTTCCATACCGACCTCGCTTTAGCTTATCGATTAAGTAAAGACGTCGATTATTCATAATAAGGTTAAGCAAAAGCTAGTTTACAGAAGCTAACCTGAAAACAATCAATCCGCTCTCAACTTTATCGTTATTTTCGGAGAAAAATCAAGCTCTACAGCTATCCACTAGCAACGCTTATGTGGTATGTAATCTCAGTAAAGTGCTTAAGTTGCGGGTGGTACTGGGATTGCTGAAACCCTGTATCTTTCCCAACATGAGAACGGAGAGTGGATCTGGAGTCTGATATTGTAGTGCCAGCAAATTCACGTAATTCGGCTGTGACCAGTGTCGTGCTCTGAGGTTTTTCGTTAGATAACCCATGCCGTCGACTCATCACGACCGCTGTTACACCGCTCAAAGTGCGCTATTTGACAAGGTATTCTGTGGAGAATTACTAGCAACAGGTGGTGGTCGTATTCCAGATCGAATCGAACGTTGTTCTTTCTTTATCTCGACTAATCTGATGCGTCGGTGTAGTACTTAGCTGTAGAGTGAAAAGCACATGCTCTTACACGATTTTATATGGTGGGCTATGAGATATAGGAAGTTCCCTCCTTGCAAAGTGCGTATTTGCATACCATGCATCAACAGCGACGTTTTTTGCCCTGGTCTTTTGGTGTATAAGTTGCGATGGGACTACATCTTATACCGTCTACATTCGAAGCACGTTTATATGAAACCAACAAATATAGAGTAATTCAAACTTTGCATTCTTATAACTTCATTCCTTTTTCTTCTAAAATTTCATTCGCCTAACTTCGCACTAGGTCGACGAAGCCTCCCTTCTCTTCGGGGTGCGTGGATTGGTAACAGACTTGAATCGGACACTCTCTGCGGCCACATGTCTCTGGAATAGCTTTAGGGTAACGAAATCGACTCGACCAGCATTCAATGAAATTCATAAAGAAGAAAAATTTTCGAGCAGCAACCGATCCCACGCGAAAGCCTGAAAGTGTACGTCGATGATAGATCACTAGTCAAATAGAATACAGAAAATACTGGGAATCCACACAACACTTGTTAAGACGACTCATGTAAAAAAATGTATTGCGTCCATCCTTTGTGCCGAAGGGGTCAAAACGTTCACAGATAATTAAGTGGAGAACAAACGAGCTTGTGAAGCATAAGTGAAGCACTCATTACAGTGACTGTGGCAGCCGGAAATGACGAGACTCCATCTGGTGAGGTGCGCCATGAGACGGCGAAGGTCATTCGACAGGTAGCACGCTTCACTGACCTGCGGTTCGTCGGCAAGAGTGGTCGAGGTTAGCTTCCCAGCTGTCATTGGTCATTCTCCTAAACCACTCGCCTATTCATCAGTGTTGAGTTTTGTGATTTATTGTACTTGCCTGTTTAACTGCCCATTTGTTGCACGTGCCTAAAATCTTAATGTGGCTCCATACGTACACAAAAAATGCTCGCTGTTATTTTACAAATACAATTGAAGTGGGCGAAATATCGATCGCTAAAGGAATGCGTCGTAGTTTTGATGTACTCGTGATGCTTGTTAGAAGGCAAGTCCATCTGTCGTTCTGCTTGCTTTGTTTCCCTGTCGTTCGAAACCCCATGACACTGCACTTCTGTGCCTCACACCCTCCTCTCCGACGGTCTACATCTGTGTCCTCCCCTACAGTAATCTCCACGTTAACATGGTTTTTGCGCGTGGAAATAATGTTCGCTGGTAATAGATAATGATCACCGCGCGCCGACATGTGTACACCACCATCACCACCACCACCGCTGTCGCCGCCGCCGCCGCCGCCGCCGCCGCCGCCGCCGCCGCCGTTATGCCGTGTCCGTCCGACCGGGAGGGACTGAGTGGGAGGAGGCTCGCAGCCACGTCCATTCAGACTGTATTCGGCAAGCCACTTTCTACAGCCCTAGGTAACCAGCATTAAGATGTTTACAAGAATCGCAAAGTCTCACATATCTCCTGACCTTCTGGGTCGAACATTTTTTAACAGCAAACACGTAATATATCTGTTCACAACTTTGCTTGTTTTCATTCTATCTTTACAGTTCCATAAAGAATTTGGCTACTTGCAATTTATTTTTCCAGTCATATCATTAAGGGCATCGAGACGAGGAATTTCCTGGTTTGTTGGATAAAATCCGTAGCGCTCTAAATTGTCGGCACCGTGTATTAGGAACTGTGTTCAAATAGGTGTACGAATTCCAGTAACTTTTTGTAAGAGGTTGAAGTCACTTGCCGTTTAGTCGTTTACTATGGAGGGTTCCGAAGGTGGATACAACTTGTGGGTGACATGACGAGATGAATTCGATCTTATCTGCGCGATCTGGTCGTGTCGGTTGCGAAGCGATGTCAATCTGTCCACAGGCTATCCACCAGATTCACCAGATAACAGCGAGAAAACCGCATCCACTACATGTGGAATGTAGGGGAAGGTCCACAAAAGTCAACAGTGTGATATCTGGTGTTGCCTGAAGATCATTTAGTGGATGTGCTTTCGTTTCTGAGATGTCGTTAATAACTGTGTCTGTTACTAATACAACAACTAGAAGCGGTGAAATTTTTATAGCGTTTCTTTTCTCTTTTAAGGTAGAACTTCTAAAAAAAATGATATACCAAGAGGGTGAGTGTGACGCAGTGGTCGGAGGCGTCCTGCAACACACACGTGGAACTGATACCGGCTTCCATGGCCCACCAAGCCTTCCATTCCTGGTACCAGACTTGTCTGGGAGCATAGCAGCACTGGTTCGATACATCGGGAGGCCACCGCGAGTCATTGCAAAGGCCAGATATGCATTCAATCACTTCCAAACGATAGTTAACGAAGTCGAATGCATGGCGCATCGCTCAGAAATTGATCAACGCCTAATCCCTTTTTATAATTTTCAAAGCGTTTCACATTCTCCACCTGCTTGAGTTTAATGAGCGAGGCGTATTAATCTCTTCCAAGCAAATAATGCAGTGCTTGATTTTAGGGAAGAACTTCCATCTTACCATATCTGTAAATACGAAACCAATGATGATTGCAATGGTATCTAGAGCAATTAAGGTGAGAATCTACACTTCGTCAAGATTGTTTTACCTACTCAATCCGCTCTCTATTCTAGGATTATTGATCGCCTCGGAGGTACAGCTCCTTATTTCACATGCCATATTTTTTTAAAAAAATCTGATTTGTAAGCGTCCAGAAAATACGAGGTGTTTTTTTTCTGTAGACATAGAGAATTAGAATCGGATTAGTACTTGCCTCTTTTCGGTGAGTAAGATGTGAGAAATTGAAACGGTAACTACATGGAGCTACTCTTGGCACTATTTGAATTTTTCAAAATAGTCAAAAAAGCTATATTGTTTAGTGATATTCAAGGAATTTGTCGTCCAGTAGCTAACCTGGTATCCCTGACTTCAAACTCTTCACTACTCAAGACCGAATTTCTATTAACCTCGGCATTGATCAAATAATTTAGCCCGTTCTTGATGAGCAGACATGAGGTTTTGCTTTATTGTTTATTTACAAAGAGGTTTTTTTATATCGGAAGCGAAATTCGCCAGAACACCAGCTTGTCGTTAATAAACAATAGAGTAGCAAGCTCGTGTTTCCTTTAAGTGATGTTTTGACTAGATTTTATCTTTTGTGTCATCTAATGATGGATCGGCTGACGAGTTTCAGGTTACCGTCGACGGGCCACGTGAGGCTCGAACTCCTGCGTCAGCGCTCACACATCGACGACGTTCATGCTCGTCTTTCACCAGTCCAGTTACGCCATTCTTTCATGCTTATCACCCGCTAATGTGGTTCACACCAGAGTTCGTTCAACACTTCTCCAACTTGAAATAATTTCTGACAATGATGCATAAATACAAATTTAATAGTACTATTTGGATCCCACCCTTATTGGACCCTAACGTATCAGTAAGCTTTATTAATAGCTAGGAGTACAATTATTATATGACAGTTGCCTTGATATTATATATTAACTTGACGCGCACAGCTTTTTTAATGTCTTCAGTCCCATTCTATGAGAAAATTACGAGAACGAAAGTAACGTGGTTGTTTAAGGCTGGCCATAATAGCTATTTTGCGCTCATATTACTTATAACTTCTGCATTTAACTCGACGATTACAATCATGAGCTAAATAACACTTCAATCTGAGATTTTGGGTTGTGGAATAATAATAGAGCAGCAGAAGCGTTTAGTCGGCTACGCGAATTGAGAGTTTTAGTGGATACCTTAGTCCAATTTCTTTTCTGTTTTGTTATGCTGGGATAATAACGTAGCAGAGTCGTTTATAAATGTATATGAGCCTTCAAGGAAGCGTGTAGCGCAGTGGTCGAAGACGCCCTGCAACACACGTAGAATCCATCTTCGCGCCCATGGCCCACCAAGTCCTCCAACCATCCGGGCTTGGCAAATCGGCACCAAACTTGTCTAGGAGGATGACAGCACTGGCTCGATACATCGTTAGGCCACCGCAAATCATTGTGAAGGCCAGATATGCATTAAGTCACCTCCAAACAGTGCTTAATGAAATCGAATGCATTGAGCAACCCTCAGAGATTGGTAACGCCGAGGTTTACCCCTTATGCTGTTATGAGTCCTCAAAGAAACGGTTCCCATTCTGTTTCCAGATTTTAAGCCAGAAAATTTCGAGAACAAACGCGTACGAGTGCAAATGTTTGAGTTACTTTATTTTTTACATCTTCTTTGCAGTAGACGTTTACTTCTAGCTTCAACACCAATCACACATATCTCAACTTTCTATATTTTACTAGTCGATATAAAACTGTCGGATTTTGTCCTATTTACCAAAAAGATGTCCTAATCCAAAAACTTTGAAATCATCCGTTCCCCGCAATGAAATCAGTTTTCTTAAGGCATTTTCGGCATCGGCTTGTTTGTTTGAGATTTTCCAAAGTACTCATCGAGGAACTTGAGAAAGTAATAGTGTTTTGATGAAAAGCCAGCATAAGGAATTTGCTGTCTCCGTCGTTCCAACTTCTGCACAACTGGCTGCCTCTGGGCTCTGACATTGCATCGCAACACAGTTGTTCTCCTCCTCTTCCGATTTGTCAGTGCCGAGGGCAAACGTTACAGTTCTTCACATATGTTGTCGATTTCCTTCCTTTCCGTTGCAGTAATTTCACTAGAATTCAAGACCTTATAGCGGATGATTCCGTCTACCGACGCCCAAGATCTCACCATAACATCGCCTTTGTTGATGATTTAGACTTAGGAGGTCTTCTGGTACTCCACCTATTCCATCGCCCTGTCATTTAATAAAAGCACTTAGCGTTGTCGATGTTCACGCAGGCCCCATATCACATCGCATATCATGTTGCGACTAACTCGCGAATTATTTTTGTTCGACAAGAAAGCGCAGTTGAACAGTCTCAGTTCTGTTGTTGTACTTGTCCTACTTGTATCTGCAACGTCCTCGAACCGTTATCCATGGACTTAGTTTGGTCAGCATAACCGACTAATCAGATCGGTCGCAGCTGGTTGTCGTCAACCTTGCTCATCTTCAAATCCCTCATTACCTTCGTGAGACTTTAAACTCACGTGGTACTTTACCATCGCTACCAGTTCCTCGGCTAGATACAACGTTGATATTGTTAATGACTTTACATCGCAGTTTGAGTGATTAGAAAAAACTGTTTGAGTTCCCTTTCGTTTTATTCCAGTGGCTTAAATTGAGCACAAACTGACACATAATCACATAATGAGATATTTCTATTTAAAATGGCATACAACAACTGAAGGAAACGTTTTTTCTGTAAGATGTCATAGTTTAAAAAGACAAACCCGACGGGGCTTTGGCGACAGCCTATCACCACTAGTAATTTTTGTTAAAATGCAGAACAAGCTTAAATTGAATTTCCAACTGCGATAGTTCCTTTACAAAACCGATTTCCATTTGACCTCGCCGTCAATAATCAAGTTAGAACTAGCCGATTAAAAGTTATGGAACCTCAGGCAAGCTGAACAATCAAAAGGAATATATTGACATCGTTCCGCTACCACTTCTCTTGTGCCTCTTCGACCATGCCAATTTTGCTTTACAGACATTGTTTTCAGTAGTTTCCAAAAAAAAAAAAAAAATAACATTATCGCTTTCAATGTTGTAGCCTCGTTAATTACAGCCTTCGGACTATTCCCGCGCTGCTTACCCGTCCGTCTCCGAACGACAGCTCACCAGAAGGCGCATGTTCCGCCACTCTTCAGGCGGCCGTGCAAGATCCGCCACGGAAACGACCACGGAAACAAGCATCTGCGTCACCAAGCTCGTCGCCACCTATTTGGCGACCGTGTTCATTTGAATGACATTTGTTCTCACGAATCTTTGTTTTCTTTACCGATTCTTAATCAGAAGTTAACCCACTAGTAGTACGCGACTATGGTTTCATACTACTCTCACTGCACAGATTGTTAGAGCGCAGACTAAACATGAGCTAGTGCGCAAAGGATTCCCACTAACGTGAGTTTCTGAGGAAAGAGTGCATATCTTGAAATAGTTGCGACTACTCTTCGGAAGTTTATGATAAACACTGGCGGGGGCAGCAATGCAACATATATATCGACTAGAATTTTTTACTGTCGTTGCACTTGTGGACATTAGGTGAAAGCATAAGAGGGAAAGTTTTAGAGTCGGAAGCCTCCGCAACGAAAGAATGAAATTTGTGAATCACTGTTAGGTACCATTTTTGAAACACTTGTAATTTCTACGCATCGCATTTTCATTCCAGTAATTTTGGTAGACTGCACAAAGAACCACAAATCCACTTTGTGAAAACTAATGAAGAACTCGGTTTTCGTGCGCACCGTGTTTCTGGCCATTGCCAGGTGGACTGAGGCTAGATTATATGCCAAATATTCAGATGAACAGAGTTCCAGGAACTTTCGTTAATATCGCGCATTCATAACGTTTGGTATTATGATGTGACTAGGCCTCGGATGATCACTATGGTGTATTGCGCTCGTTGACCATTTGCATAGACCTCATTTAACCATTCTCATCCACTTAGCAGCATAGTGCCGACATCCGGCATACGGGTTGTGGCGGTAACATCTTAAGCTTGCAGCTTTATCCGTCGATTGTACACATTATTTTTATTGCTGTTCCATAAACACTTCCGTCTAACAACTCTTTATCGCAAAAAGAATCATTCACAGATTAGCCGAAACGGAATCTGAATCGCAACATAACAGAAGCGCTAGGAAATAACTCTGGTACATCCGATGTTCTAGGGAAGACCAATAATATCGTTAACTCGGCAAAATTTCACCCATATGGGACAGTTTGTGAATCAGAGAAAGGAAATGCAACTCAACAAACAACGAAAACGTGAAGCAAAAACAGATTCACCCATACTTTCAAATGACCATCATTTCGGCCACATTCCGAGGTTAGCATTCGAACGCTAGAATTGCCGCTAATACAAACTACACAGCAGCAATTATGGAATTTCTATTCATAGAGCGCTAAAATGGTGTACTAATTCGACTATTCCAGTCAAAAACAATGAAGAAAAAATGAACAATCTTAATAAAAGCATATGAAACTGCAAAGGCACACAGACATGTCGAAATACATGACTGCATTACATTTAGAAACATACTAATCAGTTTTTTAATCAAAGAGAATGGATAACTCCTACTAGTGACGAGCAGACATAAAAATTCGTTAATACCATATGAAACTTACGAGTGATAAGAATAAAAACTAGAAGCTTTACCTGTCCGACAACAAGTACCAAATACGGAAATGAAGATAAACATTTCTTTGAATGAAATTTGATAGCAACTTTTTAGATACCCTCCATATAGATCTAACTATAAGTTGTCAAGCGTGTTTATTCTAGTAAAGACGTTGGTGAATATACGGTGAGGAAGTGCTGATAGGATATGGATGGTTAATCCCCGAAATAAGTGGAGTTGACGCAGCACTTGGACTAACGTGACACTGACGCTGCAGCATTGTTGAGCTGTAGACCGTGGCTGGATATGGAGGAGCTAGTTGCATGTACTGATAGGCGTGGTGCTGCTGACGTGGTACTGTGCCGCGAGCGACGGCGGCGACTGCTGCCAATCCGCCAAGTGGCGCCACAGGCACATTAGTTGGTACTGATAGATAACGCTGGAGAGTTGGTACAATATATGTTCCGGCATTATTCTCATAAGCATCATTACGCAGTGTCATCGAACGAGGAGTGTGACGCATCAGAGGACGGTGATTTGCGTAGTTACCACCGGCTGTATGGCGAGCCTAACAAATAAGTTAGAATTAACGAAGCAGACACATAGAACGCACAGTAGAGAAATGCAGCAGCATGTGACAGTAAAACACTTTGAAATCACACGACTTGCCTGCCAACATGCGCCACAATAATACCGGAAGCATGTACGGTCTCGACAAAAATACGGACCGTGAGCTTTACAACAGACCATGCACCATGCGTCTTCAAGAAACGGATCAATTTGCACCTTTTTGCCTACAATTGGCCAGTAATTTTCTCACAGTACATCTATCACCCTCTAGTAGAGTTCTAGCGTGTTCCAACAAATGGAAGTAATTTAAATTGCAAATGGTTAAGGCAGTGATGAACATGGAAATGGTCCAAAATACTTACAGAATTTACTCGTCCGTATTTCAAGAAAAGCCGACTCAATAGCGTGAAAATAGGAAGAATGAGAACGGAACGTAACGCGGCCACTCCCTTAGAAAAATGAAAAATGCTAATATGACGTTACCTGAGGATGTGCAACTGAGAGTAACCTCTACCTTTCGAAAAGACAACATAAACGTCAGGTTATGAATCTCACCGATCGGATATTTGTGTTTATCAGTGTCTATCCCGGCAAAGACTACGTCATCATAGAGGTCATTCATGATAGAAAACAATACTTGAGCAGTGATCATTCCATGTAGTGCTCCTACAAACACCTGAAACGGGTAGCGTATGCAGCTGCGCGATAATTGTGATATAAAACAGAAATTATAAAACTTGTGTAAAAGTATTCCATTAGAAGCTTCGAACAGCGCTCATGGAATACAAAAACCCATATTATACCGTTTTCGTTGGATCTAAACGACAGTTGGGATCATCAAAATAGGAAGAATCGGAGACCACCCACGGAATAATTTGCACCTGAAAAGCGTAGTCTCAATAAATTACTGAAAAAAACAACAAGGGCAAATATATTCTATAATCTTCTTAAAAAAATATTTTTCTTAAAAATAAATAATCTTCTTAGAAACTGGAAGCCTATTAATACTCATTTTTGGTCTCCATTGAAGAAACTAAAAAGCTTCACAAATACTGGGATTCTATACCTGGCGGAATTCAATGGACTGATTACGACGTGCCTTTAACGTGAAGTACCATTCACCAGCAGAGCCGAACTCCTGAGAACAATCTTGTAGCAGCGATTTCACTGATCGTTCCGTCTCAAATATCATGTAGACGTATCCTGTCACCTAACGAAGTGAATATGATTCTGTCACATCATACAAGTATATCTCGCGCTCATACCTTCCCACGGTTCCGTAGATTTGATCGGGAATGAACCTCTTTAGAAGGCCATTCAACTTTACACGCTCCATAAGGAGAAAACGCATCCACTAGGGCCGTCTCAGTAATGTTCCATGGCACTGGAAGATTTATTTAAGCTGCACAGAAAGAATGTTTAAACAGCCAGAACGGTACCAACCTCCACCCACAAATATTTTGCTTGAAAACGTGGGATTACTGTAGTTGCGAGGGGGAACTTCACCGGTCCAAATGTAACCAGAGGAAACCTCGCCATTGGCAGTATTTGAATCCATCTTAATAAATTAATCACCAAACTTCATTTAGAAACCGATACAGTTTACAAACCATTAACTTTCCACGCCATTGTTCTTGGATGTGACGACACCATTCATGACGACCTACACAAGATGTCTTGGAAGGGTTCACTACGGCGCGAAACGGTAGCAATTCCATTCTTCTCTTCCGTTCCGACGTTGCGGCTGGCGGTGGTAGCTTTGCAGTTGTTACACAATTTTCTGAGGGCACTGGGTGGTCAGTGAGATTCTAAAATACGAAAAAGAATGTGTGAGCTGTACAATTTCCTCAGCATTCGCTTATTTCTATAGCCATCTACACCTGATGTATACCTCATCTACTTGGTTACACGGTGTAACAACAACTGTTTTCGGTGAACGACCAGGATACGTAGAAGGCTCGGATTTTGAACGAACCCTAGGTGGGTTTTCAGCACTAACGATCTCCAACTCAAATCGGTTCATGGCAGCCGTGAGTTCTGAATATAACCACAAGTTTGTTATTTTAAGAAAGAAGTCCAATTAAGGGGTAATTCAGTCAAGAATTACTAAGTACGTCATCAAAAGCTGGAGTTTTACAAGACAGGTTATGATAAAACGATACTACTCTTTTCATTATTCGACAAATGGCAGAACAATTCTGGTCTTCAACTATCTGTGAGGATTGGGACATACCAGCCAACTTCTCCAAAGAGCGTTTGTCAGCAGTTCCGCTGTCTTCGAGGCAGCCATGGACTCTATGTGCTTGGCCCTCTACGGAACAACCTGTTACCTCCTGAAACTGTGAGAATCGTTTCGACCTCTCCACCATTTCTGTGCATTTATGAACGACGCCTGATGAAGGAAGCAAAGATTTTCTATTGATCCCCTTTAAATGTTCAAAATCTGTTAAAAGAAAAAACTTTCTGCAATGTACTGTACCTTCTGCAAAGGACTTACCGAATTAGTTTCATTAGCAGCGAACCCAACGCCGCTTGGCTCCTTCTGTTCCTCAGCCAGTGAATTGAAATTTACATCCATGTCCTGTGGTAAGATCCAAAACCAGCACAGCTGTAACGTAAACCTTACGTTAAGACCTCGTTAAGCACCTTAAGGAGTAAACTGATAGAAGAGGAACCACAAGGCAATGTAGGCGACGTCGGCGACTTGACAGCGAGTTAAGGGTTTGAATTTTCGCGCACGACGCTCTTGACGTCGACGTGAAAACTCGTCCTCGTCAATGCAAGATTTCTATGACTCGAGTACCAATCCCTTCTTAAAAGCTTCTTTTCTCATTCTTCCTTCTTTATGTTATCGTCGAATTCTTGACTAACATACCTCAAGTGGAGTTCTTTCGCCTTTTATACTTCGTCGTAGGAACTACAGAGGCTGGTGGGGTTGTGACAGGCGTGATTTGCAAACCCATTACTTGCCCTACATACCGATCCAGGAGCTAACCAGCTTCCCATTTGAATCTTTGAAAACGGAAGGAAGGAAAAGCTATCTAACAGTAGTGTTAAGGATTTTTTCTTACAAAAACTTGATTTGTGTGCCAAGAACTAGTAAAAAATATAGAACAGTTGTTGCCTATATGTATTCTATAACTTTTTTTTTCCAGAGATCTTGTAACGGATAGCTGCTCTAGTATGGGAGGAACAGCCGTTCCCACAATAAATGGTGGGGTATTGCAACATTCAAATTCTTACGTTCAAATCAATATCTACGATACAAATATCAAAGAACTTCAAGATCGTGGAGTGGATATCAAGCACATGCTGGTAAGTTGCTAGTTCTTCCAGCCATGCAATAGTACAACATTTGTGAAGAATTAATGTTATTTCATGCACTATGAATGATAAGAAGGGCGCGTTTGGCGCAGTGGTCGGAGGGGCAATGCAACACACACGTGGAATCGATCCCAGCGTCCACGGCCCACCAAGCACTCCATCCCACCGGGGATCGGCAAATTGGTGCCACACTCGTCTGGGAGGATAAGCAGCATTAGCTCTATACATCGGTGGGCCACCACGAGTCATTGTAATGGCCAGATATGCATTCAATCACCTCTAAACGATGCTCAAGTCGAATGCATGGCGCATCCCTCAGTGATTGATCAACGCTGAGAGGTTTATCCACTTATTTAGCAGTTATATTGCTCGTCACTTGCCGTTGTCTTGGGAGTTTTATAGGAAGCAGTTTTTGCGGTTGCTTATATGTGGTGATCTTAACCCTTTTATTTACTGCCTTTTTTCTTTTTAATGGCAGGGTATGTTACGAAATATAACTCGTATGTAATGCTGAGATATTTGCGAAACTCCGGACAGCAGGTGTCCGCCGTGGGGAACGAACACGCGCTGTTGTCCTTACCGGAGAGCAGCGCACTTCACCGTCACACCATCCGGGTCTTTCGTTTTGCCTGTCTCTCAGCTAGTTCTATAGATCTTTTTGCCATCAGCAATCACCCGTCAACGGGATTGTTCGTTCCCCACCGCATACACCTGCGGTCCGCAGTTTTGCAAATATCTCAGCATTATATACGAGTTATATGTGGAGTTTTACGGTGGTTCGTGACGAACCAAATGTTGGAAATTTCTGTTGACAACCAGTCTATTTTTTCACCATGTTTGTTACGACTTGGAATATCTTAAGTCGATTATAGTACGGGAGCCAACGTAAGCGGCAGAAACCAGGTAGAGTGTAGTTTCGAGAAACTCGAAGGAGACTGAAAATAAATGCGGACACTTTCTTGTTGCCACCGTTACCCACAGCGCGTCACCTTTAGGAAATTCGCTATCTTGTCACCGACACATGGGAGCTTTGGTAAATATGCAATCTTCATAAGGCGGAAGACTTATCTAAAATGAAACATACGAACGTTAGATAAAACCATGGTGTTGACGATGATTATAGATAAAAATGAATGCAGACGATATCTTCAAGATAATGCAAACATGCTGAAAGAGGACTTCGTTTCAGGATTTCTGGATCGGGCAGAGAGTCTTGTAAACGTCATCACGCATGAAAAGAGTTATTCCTATAAGCGATTGTTTCGCGGATAACCTTCAATTACTTTTCTTAATATTTTACGCAGTGGCGTTCGATCTCTTTTAAGTACTGGTCGATGCGTAGTGGCTGTTTACAAATGAAGCTACCTGCAGGATCTGTTATTTACAAATCGGTTTTTAAATATTTAATGCGCGACTTCGTGTTGCAATAAGTTGTGCCTTCATGTCATTTGCCTTTCAGCAACATATTGGGCTTCGTTCCGTTGTCATGGATGTGCCTATTCTCCCTTCACCTCCAGTGAATATCTCAGTTCAAACCAACGCACGCCGCTCAAAATCTTTTGGAGGCTTCTACCTTCACGCCCGTTCCTCTCATTCGAATAATGTAGGATTTGTTCATTAACAGTTTATAGAGTTAGTAAATTTAAGTCTTCAGGTGATTTCAAAGTCTTTGGTATTGAAATTCAAGTCAGTGTTTGATTGTAGAGTTTTTATAGTCAACGGGCAACAATAGCATGGTCAATAAAACTGTCGAGGAATCTGGTGACATGGATGTGACGTCTTTTGAAGTAAGCCTGGGTTTTTTTTTGTTTGCTATTGTTAATGAAGGGGCTTCATAAAGATTACTGCCTTATTCTTTCCAGGATAATGATTCCAACTGTAATGAGACTGTTGTTCACGATGGTATCTATACAACATTAGCAACATCCTTTACCGATTCCAATATATCAGTAGGCAACATAGGTGGGGCTGGTTCGTTCTACTTTTTCAAAAAAACCGTGTGTGAAATTCATCAATACTTTCCAAGTGTATTCCTCACCAGATAAAACTGTGCATTGACACCAATGAATACCCTTTCCAACATTTCAATTGTTTATTGCAAAGAGTTTATTTCCCTCACTTTTTGCTTAATCGGCAGCTTATCTAACACGTAGTACCAGACGTCTATAAATATTACCAGCCTTGTTAATTACAAGGAACCATTTTCTACTTTGTTTTAGAAGATGGCCATGCGAAATGCTGTGTAGCTCCTCTTACGTCTACCCCACTCATTTCTAAGCAGAGGATTAGTTTCAAACATTATGTGACGAACTTTATCCGCAGCAAATCAAACTCCTGTAAGTCGAAAATTTGTTCACAATGTGTTCAATGTCCTCATATATCTTTTTGATACTTGTAATCCAGTGGTTCCTTCGAACATGATAGCTGCTATTAAACCACGTTTTGTTCTGAACCAACACCAAATAATGTGAGATTAGAACCTATCAGACATTTTTAAAAGAGGTTCTGATGTTACTGCAGTTTCTCATCTTTCACCAACTCTTTTAAATCCATGGAATATTGTAAACGCAGCGCAGCTGCATAGCGTCATTGGTGCGAGTATCCTGTACACAACACTGAACGTACACAAAAGAGGCATTAAATGTGGGATCTTATTCACAGATTCTTTTTGGTCACCAGGAGTTGTAGTGGCAATTGCGAATATAGAACAATATAGAAGTCCTCGAGTGTATTCTATCACTCACCTGCTTTTTTGTTATGTATACTGTGAATGATAAGTCCGTACTGATGGGCTGTGAAATATGAGCTCGATCTTGACGAACGATTTAAAAGTTTTATTTAATAGCCAGCATCGAATAACAAAAACTACACGATTTTCGAGGGTTCAAGGTTAACACACCATCAAAGTAAGCACTTCCACTCACTTGCTTGCTTTAACTTAAATTATTATTTTGAAAACTGACTTTGTTATACTAGCAACATTAGGGAACGATAAGGAAGGTTGAGAAGTTCGCTTCAAAACAACCTAGCTTAGTTAAGCACTTCTAAGTCAGTTAGTTTAGAAAGATGTATCACCACATTTATGTTTCTTTGCTTCTTTTCATAGTCACTGAAGCGGAGGACTTGTGCTGCTTTTACTTGTACAACTTCTTAAGCCGATGACGAGACAGTCAGTGCTTTATGCTGCGAACCAATTTAGCTAGCTTAGGGCGTGGCTTGCTGACAGTTCCCTAAAACTTAGTTAAATAAGTGAAAGCTATTATAAGGTAATTCTTCCTCCTACTTTGAACTGGCAACTGTTATCTCTAAAATACGTCAATTACTATGCAACTGCACACATTTTAAAAACTGCGTGCCGTCGCTAAAGTGGCTTCAAAATAATTGAGAGCAATTTGTGTTGTGACAGATTTTTGCTGTCGTATTTCATTTTCGGTTGAAAACCGTGGTTGTTTCAGTCCGAGAAGGTTGCTGTGGTGATCCTAGGAGCTGTCAGAAAGGTCAAGATATCTACCAGGTGTGCTTCGAAAATATTTCCAAATTTGGATTTTATTCATGGCAAGGGACGTAAATGGCGTTAACATGCTTATGTTATGACTTAGGAATTTTCTGACTACTTTTATCACCTTAAATTTTACAGTGTCTCAATTACTACCGTGACCGCGATAAAGTGCTGCTTATGAAGTTGCCTCTCATTAGCTTTCAGCCTTTTGCTTTTCGCATTAATGTCTCCGTTTTCTCGAAAATCACGAGAACCCACATCATCTTGGTTCTGTTGTTAGGATAATTCTTATCATTTTATGTAGTGGTCAGCGGGATCCACACTTACCAGTTTATGTGTGGAAAGACCGCTCTCTATTTGAACCTGAAGGAAACGGTGGTCATAAACTGACTCGTTTTCTGAAATATTTTCACGAAACGGAATAGTCAACTTTGAATGCTTCGACTATGTGTATATAAGTTAAGAAGTCGCTATGACGAACCACCACGAAGATGTGAGAGATCTGAAGTTCCGAGCTATTTAGATGGCCAAGGGTTAGAAACGCCATCGCGCAAATGTCAAAATATTGAAAATCAGGACCGGAGAAGAGATACGTCTGAACGACAACAAGCCAACAGCGCATAAGAAGTAGCATAATTCACACTTTGAAGATATGATACGGGAAATTTTAATACTACATCTACATAACTACCCAGTGAGATTTCTGACATCGACCGATTGTTTTGAATCTTGGAAACTCTGCGCTGCTCTACGTTAATGTGCTTGTTTATTTACGTGGATACTTTGACGGCCCGTCTTCACGTGTTATGCGAATATACAAGCACATTTTTGCTTTCGTTTCTTTGCCTCGCAATCTTCACTCATGGTAGTGGTTTAACCATCTAGTTTGATCTTTTCGCCTTTTCATCACAGGTTTTTCATGAACTGTGTCTTCCGATTTATGCGTAGTCGGATCTTTTCCCACTTCGCTGAGTTCATTGATCCTCGTCTCTGCTTCACTGGTACTTCTTAAAGAGATGACGATATTGTCAGCGAAACGATGGTTCGATAGGAATTGTCTATAAATAGGTATGCCTTTCTCATCTCAATCGAGTGACTTCGTTATCCACTGTAGTGCGGCACTAAACCGTTTTGGCGATATGGTGTCGTCTTGTCGAACCCCTTTTCCTAGAGGTGAAGTAAGAAGTTGATGGAAAGCTGTATTTTCATAGTGCAGTTTCGATAACAGTCAGAGTTCTTATGTAGATAGGGTCCACTCACTGCTCATCAAGAACTGTCAGGACTGTATGGGTTTCTACACTGTCGGACGCTTTTTCATAGTAGACAAAAGTCAGGACTAGGGGCAGGTGGTATTTCCGACAAGCCTCTATTACCCTGAACACGAAATGCTGTTTGCTCGACTGTTTTGCCTGCCTTGTCCAACGTCCTTCGCATAAATCAAAGAACAGTTTTTGTTGAGAGTTTGTAGAGTGCAGCAAACAAGCATTTCGGACCATATTTACGAAGATCCGTTCCGTCGCTTTTCTCGGGCAGTATTGCTGGAGACGACGTTCTCTCGTGGTCTGGGATTTTCTTCTTTTGAAGGTAGGATCTCATATGAGTTGGAGAACTACATGTAAATTGAGTGCCCTCAGAATTCGGGCTTGATATTATCCGGTCCAGGAGCTGCTGTTCTTCTTCATGGTTTCTGTCGCAAGAGGGAAACCTGAGAGGAAAAAATTCCAGGTTGTTTTTCTCCAGCAGGTATTTTAGTGTCTGGGACGAGAATTGCGGAAAAGAAAGGGTTGCTGTAGAACATTCTTTTTATTAATTCCGTATATGTATGTCTTTATATCTTGCATATTTTTTCATATCATGGCGGGATGTTTTAGTGTTCATGTCTCCGTTCATCAGGTATAACATATGACAGTGAAACATTATGATCACACAAGTCCCGACGAAATTTTTTTCGAACTGCTTTTTTTTCTGCTACTTCTAATAGGTTCTTCTGCCTTTACCGATGTATATCTTTCTGCAAACTTCTGTGCAACTGGCATTTATTATTAGCCGTGTTAAGCGTGTTGCGCTAGGATCAGACTTTAGTTTCCTTCTTTTCTCGAGAAACTGTTTAGTGCTTGTGGAGATGGTATGTGGTCTTCTGGCTTATGGAACTAAGACGAATTCGGCACACCTTTTAAGTTCTTCGACAAGAAGCTTGTAGTCTTCTGTCGAGCATACCTTAACCCGCCAGTCACGTTTCGATGCGATTTTGTTCCGCCAGCCTACGGCTGAACCGAATCTTTCTTTATTGCCTCTTCAGAAATATTCCATATGGAGCGGTGCACGCAGTCTTTTTGATCCTTTAATAGTGCGTTTTTATCCTAAATTACAGTATGGTTAAGAACGATCCTCATTTATTATTATTCACTATTTATCAACCTTATTCTGCATCTCGTGTTAATATTTTTCAGGTCACAGAACGCCCACTGCAGCACGAGCAAAGTCGTCCTACAGCAAATCATAGCAATTACTTTTACAATGACAGCAAGCTACTTACAAAAGACATTACGCCTGAAAATAATGCCACCACTTTCCAAGACTGTCAAGAAGTTGTGGTAGATATACCACCCGCTGATGACTGCGTAAACGCTGTCACGTCATCTGAACTTCCAAGCTCTACTAAAAATGCTACACTTCCACGTGTGCAAACCAATTCAGGATCCCATTGGTCTTCACTTACCTCGGACGAGGTAGTGCCTGTTGAAGATAGTGGTGAAATTGATGATATTACAGAAGCAGACCTTTCATTTACCTCATTTTCACGGGAAGTTGTATCGGCTTTACAGTCCATTAATCCAACCTCATCGTTGTTTATGGGTAATATCGTATTTCACGACGAATTAGATCAGCAATGTCACAGTTCCTCTATAGAGGTCGAACGATTTGTTTCAAAGCGACAAGAATCGCAGGAAAGCGCTAATTCCAGGGAGACCAGCATATTAAATTCGGAGCGCTGCGTGTTCCGAACTGCGGATATCGATGAAGAAAGTGTTTACAATACTGGAATTAGTCGCCAAAGTTACATAGCTGGTAAAGAAGATGTTGTTGAGGACATCGTTGGAAATGAGTTACCTCCACTATCTTCTCTAACGTTAGGAGGTCAAGAGTTAAATGAAAAGTTGGATTCTTCCCCTCGCTCTCCATCTGAAATCGTTTCACTTCGAAATTCTGGTCTTGAAAATGGTAAGTGTTTTCGACAAGAAGTTTATGCACCACCACTAACTTTATCTTCTGTCTTTGAAAATCTATCTACTGATGCAAATATAGCATTCTCAATGCAATCCGCTACCGCTGAACGGTATGTCCGTCGGAAACGGGCTCGATCGATATCGGAGGACTCCGAGGGTGGAGCCACTATCACTCCTAAGGAAGGCTCCCCAAATGATGTATTGTTTACTTATTTTGTCTTTCATTCCTGCGGTTTCTTTTAAATTTCGAATCAGTATAGAAAATGGAATTAAATGGATGGCAATCCTTGTCTAAAGTTAACCAACGAAGCTGCAACTACTTAAGCAGGTTTATGTATAACATGCTTACCAAAATATTTCATCACGTGCTTTAAGGCCAAGAATGAATCCGGGAGCTCAACAGTGAAACCAATCGTACCTAACCAAATCTTCCGCTGTCACATGCCGGTTCGTGTTCAACACGTTTGTTTGAGATTAATCCATTCGATGTCATTGATTTTCGATTTGTTCGGATAGGGCTGTGGGAAGCGTATATCATGGCGGCCTCGCTATGGTAAAAATCGTTTGGTTGATCATGTCCGTCTGCATTGGGCAAAAGCAGTGAAAAGATGTAAATTGTGTGATTTTAAGGCGTTAACTTGCCGAAAGGTAGGCACCTCTTGACATTCTTCTCTCCTTCACTAGATATCTTGGTAGCGCTTAAGAAGCAAATTGCTTATAAAACTATTGGAGCACATCCCTAAATGCATCTACTCATGTGCTTTGTCGTTATTAAAATCGAAAAAGATTATAAGATAATCTAAGCAATTACCATTCTTAAATTCAAAACAGAAGCTATAATGTACCATTTTGAACTATCAGTAACAAAATGAGTACAATTTCTTCGCGATTCGTTATCTGCAGGTTTCATTTTTCTGATATATTGTTTTGTCATGGTGTAGACGCCGTTTTGACTATTATCGTACCTTTATAGATTAATCATCATCACAAAAATGTACATCGCGATTCGCCCTATATGGGAGCACTTTCTATAGAGTAAGTGTTTTTAATAAATGAGTATTTATGCGAGTTTGGTGATTTTATAATACTGGTTGTTTAGAACAAGAGAAGATCTGGATGAACTTCTTGTGTTGTGGAATCAGTGTTTTCCAGGTTGGTTTCTGATGCCATCGTTTAGTATTATCACTCCTTGAAGATGTTTAGAGCCACAGTAGTCTAAGCGTTCAGCACTTAGAGTCCGACGTTAGTGGATTTCCACCCATACATGGATACGGTAGATCGGTCCTGCGCGGGTTGATATCAACTTACTGTTTACTGTTTTCGGGCGTGTATATTACTGGACAGGGTTTTTTATTTTTGCTATAGTTTTTGCATTCGAATCTAATGGAGATTACTTTGCAGGGTATTACGTATGAAAAACCATTTTTTACACTTAATAGTTCAAAAATAGAAGATCTTTTCGGGCATCTCTATTTCGTCGGCGAGAGACTATTGCTGGTGTATACAACACTCACCGTGGAACCTGTTGTTGTCGAGGAGGGTACAGAGGCCTCTGTAGTGCGCTTGAACATGGTCAGTTCGACGCTTAGGGACATCCTTTCGCTACCATAAGATAGTAGTCACTGAGGAGATTTGTATACACGTGACCATAATGTGGTTTTATGTGGTGAAAAACGCAGCTACCTTTTTTATCGTTAGTCGACTAGAATATCCTCTGAAAGGATAGAACACGAACATCGGTTCCTTTGGTTTACATTATTCCTTTCATCTTTGTACGAACATATCTCAGTCATAGGAAACTTTATTTATTGAGGAAATCAATGGAAAATACGAATATTTTAAAACAAGATGCAACTTTTCTTATTTTGCGAGAATGGAGTTCTCATTTTCTGGACGTAATTTTCTCATCAATGGTTGTAATTCTCAAGTCGAAGGCATTGACCAGCGAGTTTCGTCCAGCAGCACACTATAGTGTTGTCCAATGTATCGTTGATGCTTGTGTCTTCAGCACTCGCTTTTAAGACCTCAAGATTTTGAAGTCCTTTTCCAATTTTCTCAAAACCTAGATGCTTAAAATTAAGGTAACATATTCGAACCGTTATGCTTATCTTTAGAGCGATAGAGGAGATATGTCCTACACCTCTCTAAATTTCTAAACGTCTTAAAAACTTTATCGTAAATAATCGGAATTCGTTAAGAAACCAAAGTTGCACATATTCTTATAGGTAGAGAGGAATTATGTTCTATAATCTTCCCAGTTCTCAACTCTTCATACATTTTAGTTATACTGAAATTGTGGCTTATCGATGAACTGGTATTGTACAGTTTGTGTCAAGTTGGTGACAAAAATAATTTTGACTAGTAAGTGACCATGGCAGATGCGGCGCAGTTGTCACTGGCGCCCTGCAATACCCACATGGGGCCGGTCCCCGTGCCCGTGGCCTACCAAGCCTTCCATCTCTCTGGGATCGGCAAATTGGTAGCAGCCTTGTCTGGGAGGATAGCACAACTGGCTCGATACATCGGTAGGCCACCTTGAGTCATTGTAAAGGCCAGATATGCATTAAATTACCTCAAAACGACGCTTAACGATGTCGAATGCATGGCGCATCCCTAAGGGATTAATCAACTCAGACAGCTTTATCCTCTTTTTATTTATTGACCATGAATATCGTATGGCATAGAAGGATGTGAAAAATACCGGCATGTAATTCGTATACGTTGTGAAACGAACAACCAAATGCTGATAATACTGTTGTTATCAGGTAATTTTTTTTCATCGCTTGCAAGGATTTGAGGGGTTCCAAGAGCATGCATGAATATTTGGAAAACTCGGAATACACCTAGCGTCGTTTGTTACGGGGTCAGTTAGACCGGCATTAGTTGATATCAGTTCATAATGGGTGCGGCGAAGAAGTAGGGGTTAATTCTACGCGTCGGTCACGTAGATTTAGCCGTCGGACTCTAAGCGGTATACGAACACTTTTTGCGAAGCCGTACTTGAAATTTTAGGACGCTCATCTTCTGGCACGATTAAATGGATACTATCTTCCTCTAATGTCATGTAAGATCTGTTTTACTCAGGAGTCGTGATATGTTTGACCTTTTGCCTGTTTTTCTTTAAGTATTTTGTAAATGTATAACAATATTCGCTTTTCTCTTGCAAAATTTTGCCTAAATTCATCCAAAGCGCATGTCCCCATTTTGGACTATATGGGTAAATTGCTTTCCGTGGTGCCGTCGTCGACAGAACTGCCTAAACTTTCTACTTACTCAAGAGAAGAGAGAAGCATCAAAATTTTTACTGAGAGCCTCCATTTGGGAAGCGTAATCAGATCATTGGGTAGTCAAAATATACTTATAACCTTAAGAACTCTGGAACCAATTAATTTGGTACCATGTCTTCATGAAGAATTTTCTATGGACATAAATATATGGAACCCATCACTTGTTTGTGAACCCATCAGTTCTGTAGTCGCCTCACATCTCTTAGGGTTCCTTTATGAAGCAGTTAAAGTGCACTGTGCTCATTTACTGAACTATTTAATCGAAATAGTTTCGAGCTCATGCACATAAATGTGCATTTGGTTAATGTACACAATGAAACCAAATTTCGACAAAGGTACAGCTCTACGACTGTTTGCCTTCTTGATGGAAAAATAGCAAGTTTCAGTGCAAAATGACGATGAATTTTGTGATGCTCAGATACCCCAATGTGGTGATCTTCAAATTCCTATTGAATGAACGTCTTGCTTTCGAACTTTCCTTGAACTAATCAACGGTCTTCTCTGTTTTTTGACAGATTGGTTAGTGTTCATGTTTTAGTGGTGATAGACATGATACTCTTTTCGTTGTTATAGGAGTGTGATTAATGCGTCGGTTGCGTTTTTTGGCTTTAAGCTTATGATGGCACGTACTTCTCCAAATTCGTTTGCTGCGTTTGTTGGTGTATTATTTTATGATTTCCTACTACTCAGAAGTCATTTATATGTAGGATAATATCATCCTAAATATTAAGAGATCGGACTAGGTCGAACACTTTTTTTTCGAGGTTGCTTTTTGCTTTCATCACAGAGAAAATTAACGGTTCTTACTATAATAGGTGGCCGTTAATGCAAAGAAAAAGGACTTTTCGTGTCCTATCACTGATTGAGCTGTAATAAGAAATTTGTTCATCCGAAAGTTTGCGACGAATGAGTCTATTATACTGTAAATGCTTTATTAAATTGTGAAAGTGTCTGAGAGAATCAGATGAAACCCTTGTCTTTGAGAACTCTTGTTGTTTAGCTTTTCTGTAATTGCTGAAATTCTTGTACCATAAGCCTTGGCATCTATCATGTTGAGGTTCTTTCTTGTCTGTTAGAGGATTTTTCGAATTCCTTACTTTTTTTCTATAAAACATATACATTGTTTGCTTATAATGGTCTTTTTAATCTTCTATATTGTTGAATTGTTGTTATTGTTTTGAGTTGACAATGAAATAAACTGTGCTATATGGGCTAATTCATATAGTAGAGATTCTTCGTCCCATCGGTACACTACCTTTATGCATTTTAATTATGTCGTAGTTAACGCGGAAATCTGTTAAGGTTTCTGATTTGTGAACTATTTATTTCCGGATGCCTAGTATTGAGCAGGATCGACGAACATATCCAGTGTTTATTCGTTATGGTAGTTGTCGAGGTCCTCAGCAGAGTTTCCCAAGCTGAGGAGTCCGGCGCTTCCATCAGGAAGCCCAGCTAAGAGTAAACTAATATCAGGATCCACTACTGTCCTGGTATCAAACTAGTCACATGGTGGCAAATCTCCCCCTGTTCTGCAAGGACAGCGACTGCCTGTAGTGGCGACGGCCTTGGACAGACTTTGGCCTGGCTGACCTCAGGACGCCAGGGGACCACAATGGCTAAGCAGGTAAGGCTCCGAAAAAGTGGAGTTTATGCTAGTACCCGCACAACCAGTGAAGACGGGTCATCCAAGTATCCAAGTAAGTACATGTCGAGGTGTCATTTGTCGATTTGTTCTCACATTATTGACAGTTATTCCATCAAGTCACCAATAAATTGACCTTATTTGTTTAAATGTTTAAGTGGGTGAGGATGCCGTCTCACAAGGAGAGTGGTTTTTGATCATTGCATCCCCGATCCCTGCGTCCGTGGCTCACCAAACCTTCCATCCATCCGGGGTCGGCAAATTGGTACTAGATTTGTTTGCGAGAATAGCTTGGCTCGATACATCGATAGGGCACTGCGAGTCGTTGTAAAGGCCAGATATGCACTCAATCATCTTCAATGATACTTAATGAAGTCGAATACATGGTGCATCCCTTAGGGATCGATCAACGCCGCGAGTTTCATCTTTTATGTATATATATATATATATATGTATATATATACGGTTTCTGTATTCTTGGTTACAGACTTTTTTGTTGGATATGATGTGATGACAGTTGCTCGTTTGTTTTAAATGATTTGTTGCTCGGGATCAATAGGTTGTCAAAAAACGGTGAAGACTAGAGTATTTGTTGCTTTGTTTCAGGGATCATTTTCAACTATGATGAGTGAGATAGACGTGGAAGTTAATAGCAGATTGTGTGAATGCGCTTCGTCGTACGTCCAAGTTAATATATACAACACAAACATAAGAGAGCTTCGAGAAAAAGGAGTTGATTTGAGGCATATTCTGGTTAGATTTCTACATACCCATGCACTTTTATCTATATTGCAGAAATTTTTTAATTCCTAGCAACATATTAACTGCCATTCGATTATCATGGACGTTCCAATACTCAAGATTGAGCCCACAATGTCTTCTGCATGTTCATTAAACATATGTCGGACAAACCCACTCGCTGGTCATATCCAGCATTCGCGACTCTATCGTTCCATTAGCGTATGTGTCAAATTAATACAGCGTTATTTCTGAAATGAATTTTAAATGCCTTTCAGAGTTTTCCGAGCTTAGTCGCAATCAGTGGGTGTAACAATAATGGCAGAACTAGTGTCTTAGCAAGCCAGGTTGGCCATAATTTTGTGCTGTGTTTTCTGACCATTAGGATACCATTCTGTTTCTTTTAGCAACGTTGTTTTACCAAAGAAAATTGATTAGTCGGAGCCTGCAATATCCAACTTTTGTCAAGTTTTTACTTCACAACGGACATGACCAAATTTTCTGCACCTGACAAAGAATAGAAACTTGTATCGGGAAGGACGGATGGACTTTTCAAGTCATCTTTTCACATAGTAGCACATTTGATTAGAAAAGAATCAGAAGTCTATTAGGGCTACGGAATTCTTTACATGAAGTGTGAAAAATCGTTAGAGAATGGAGTGAATATGAATATCTAGGATTCATTGGAATACAATTTCCATTCAAAAAAGCAATGCAACAGGTTTCTGACATACAGTTTCTAATAATATATTCGGTTTTTTATTATTTTTCCTTCAGAATAGGAAAGTTCTTATTTCATATTAATGAGTTGTTCTGCTTTAGCAGTATGATTCCTCATTCGGCAAACCGCTGGACATACGACCAAGCATGCCGTCCTATTCCACGATAACTGGTAACTCTTTACTATTCTACACGAATCTAGCTAGTTTTTGGAATTGTATATCGTGCTACCAGTGGTCAATATTGTACTTAATTGATGTATTGCGAATTCTATGGAAGCATAGAAGATCATTCTTGTAGAAAATATCGCATTTTAATAGAGCATTTAGCGTGGTTTACGGATACCACTTATATCCCTGAGGTGTATGCTTTTTATATTTGTTCTTTTGTCTTATTGGTCACTTTCTAGCATTGATTGTATGGCGATGAATTAAGACGTTGACTGCTTTGATTGTACTTCAAGTCAATGGGTCAATTTCGTAAGTCACATGGAACCTTACGTCTTATCTTCACTATTTTAGATGGCTTTGCACAATTTGAAGGCGAATCCGTTTCTCATGACAGCCTACAACAATTTCACATGGATCAATGCGCAGAGAATGAAATGGAAATAAAGCGGAAAAAAGAACTTACTAAATGTGTAATTGATGGGACTGCCATGGATGAATCAGACTGCTGCAATAGACATAATGTTGTTCACGAAAACGATCCTGTTAAAGCAAGAATACCATCATACGTTTCATTCGCCGATTATTTGGATGCTAGCAGCTCAGAAGAGCTCTCAGTGACATTATCTTTCTCTGCAATATGCTCAGCCTTTGGAAGAAATAGTTTTCTCCAATCAATGAGTTTCTCTAAGAGTTCTGAAGGACCAAACTTTGTTACGAACGAGTTTGAGTCCAAAAAACTGGACGGTTTTCCTATTGCTGAATCAACGACGACTGTGGAATGTGGTTTAGTAGAAGAGGACGTTCAGGGATTGTTTCCTGATCCAGATATAGTACATGAGGAATTTCACGTAGATGAGAATGGCAAAAGCGTCTTCTGTAAACTTGAAGAAGTAGAGCTCAGAGTGTCTTTTTCCAAATTTTCACACGATTTGGAATCAGTGTCAAATATCGGAACAAGAGCTGTACAAAACTGTACTCAAACAGTTCGAAGGCCTGCGTTTGGTTCTATGTGCAAGGTATTCGTAGATTTTAAGGAATCTGTTGTGGACGATAAGAAGACGGACTATTCTAGAGTAATATTTATTTATTACTGAACTACTGTACGACTTTTCCCATGTAGTTGGTTATTTTCAGAATAACTATGTGGTCATGCGACGAATGTCTTTGGTTCCAAAATCCTACCATTGCAAAATAGAAGTGAGTTTTTAAAGGACTTTCTACTTTAATATTTATCGCCTTGGCCACTAAAATCTGACGCTCTTGGTATTTATGTTTCCGTAGCTTTTTCTTTATAGTTTGCGTCATCGTGCTAACCGCCATGATTCCGCCTTCCAATAATCGCTTTTTTCTAGTGTAGAGCAGCCGTTGGACAATTCGTTCTTGCTGACGTTTCGCTTCACTGTATGCACTTGTTGTTTCAGCTGTGATTATATGTCGATAGGCTGGGACGACGTAGTTTGAAAATTATAGGAACTTTTAACAACGATTTTATGCATCTCTTAAGACATTCCAACTATACTGTTACTATATTTTTAGGGATTTCACCACTGCGATATTGTGTCAGTACAAAAAGCAACTAATCGTGGTGGGGTCCATATGTGAACACAAGACATTTTAGCACATCCTTATTTATGATGTTCTCCCTATTGTTGTACTATATTGATCTCCAACCGTCTCCACAGCTTGGAGAATGAAATCAATCGAAAATTTTTTTGCGGATTGTGAAGTGTAAAATGCAGGTTTTATTTGCTGGTACCAGGCGAAGCATCCGTATTGCATGATCGGTCGATTGCATACAGAACGTATAGAACTCCGTGTAATAAAATAAATGGCGTTGAAGAAATAATAGCATTGACTAGCTTATCTATGATATCTGTTCCAACACTGACCCTTCACGTACATGTACAAATTGTACGTATATACCCTGCGTGTACAAATTATGAACGACAAAACCCGATGTCGTCTTTCTAACTACTTACTATAAGGTCGATATTCTGATTGTTGGATGTCAATGGAAAGCGGTGAATACCTGTTAACCTCAAATCTGGATGAGACTGATGAAAGGTTTTCCAGGGTTGCAAACGGCGCATTCGTTTACGATACGGGTATGGGAAACAGAGACTTCTCGAACATGTGAGAGCTCACTGGGGAAAGTTGTTGAAAAAGTGCAAGCTGTGTACTTTTAGGGCGTCACATGCGTACAAAGTTGGTTCCTTAACCAAAACTTATTGGTCTCCCGATGTTTCTTTTTTGATATATAAGATTTAGGTGTATTACCATCATAAATGCAAGCATTCCGGTTCGGATTTCTTTCAAGCAGAATCTTTAGAGTAAGTTTTTTCGTAATCTGTAGTTTATAACATATTGGTCTCATTTTTGTTCGTTATTAAATGTTTTCTTCACAGGACGAAAGAAGATATGAAAGAACTCTTGCAAATTTGGAAACTTTGCTTCGATGGTGTGTGGTTCTCTTCAATAGTGTCTTATCTGCAACATTTACTTCTACAAAGAGTGGTATGCAATAAAAACACCCAGAGATGCCACCAAATTTCTGTTGCATTTGAAAAACCGTCAATAGTTTCAATAGTTGTGGTGATATGACGGTTGACCAGTAGAATGGTGGTGATTCAATAGCCATATCATAGGTTAGCTACTATAGATGAATTAGGAACTGAGTTATATATTACGGAGAGTTTAATATAGCTTAAAGGAAGTGACACCAGAGATTGTTCGTAGAGCAACTACTTGTTTTAGTTGAAGTGCGTAGCAAACAGGGTGTACAAGGAAGGAAGGAGAGTGTTTCTTTTCAGCTGTTTTCATTTGTGATATGGCGTCATCTACATTGCTACTACATTATTCTATTACGTTCGCTACGGATATTGATTTACAAACATGGATTTGCTTTTCATAGATCTATGAATCTAAACGTCTATAATTTTTCCAGCTGAACCTCCACGATGCTTGCGTCCTGAAGCGTCAAATACCTTGAAAGTACTACGATGCTGATGCCAGTGAACATATCTTCCAGCACCATTCATTCTTCTTCGCATTCAGTTGTCATCGAATCGTGGGTTTTCCTTACTGTTGAAAAATGTACTTCAGTGAATACTACAGTTAATAAACTTACTCAATCGTCCTAAATCCTTTTTGAAACCCTCCTTACATGGCTGCCTTTCGTGCAGTGCTCTGCCAATCCTGACTCGAGTGAAAAGTTTGTAGACGACAGACAGCAGACAGATAGGGCGGTAGTTGGCGATGTCATGGAGATCATCCATGTTGACCAAAGCCACACCCTTGCTGGTTTGCACAGAGTTGGGACCTTTCATTCTGTCAAGTAACATGGAATGACCACAGCCAATGTTTATGAGGACTCCTGGAAGGTTCTTCAAGTGATGAAATCTTATCCTATCCAGATCTGGTGTTTTTCAATTCCTAACCGATGAAATGCGTGTGCAGTGGTTGGAGGCGCCACTGCGACACACACCTGGAATCAATCTCAGCGCCCATAGCTCACCAAGCCTTGCATCCCTCCGGGGTGGGCAAATTGGTACGATACTTCTCTGGAAGGATAGCAGCACTGGCTCGATACATCCCTAGGCCACCGCAAGTTATTGTAAAAGCCAGATATGCATTCAATCACCTCCAACGATACTTAATGGAGTCGAATGCATGGCATATTCCTCAGAGATTGATCAACGTCGAGAGCTTTATCCTTTTTATCCTTTAGCCGATGAAACGGCGTATTGGATTTTGGAATGGAGAACCGATGGTACGACATATCCATCCTCCTTTCTTTCATGTGACGGAAGGTGGACGTGGCAATCGAAGAGATCTGAGAAGTATTCGTGAGTGATTTTCTCCATTGCCTTTCTGGGCGCTGCAACTGTTCCGTCTGGTCGTCGGAGTGCAGTCATTTTGGTCTTGTAATTGGCGAAGGTTCGGTGAGCCTTGCGAATGCTTTTTCAGCATCTGAAGCTTTGACCTAACTGCTGCTTGTCTCTCTTTAAGATTTTCTTTTATCACCTGTCTGCATTGTTTTGCCAGTTCGGACTTGAGTTGGCAGTTGCCTGTAGCTTATGTGATTTCATGCTGGCGTGTCAATTCGAGTGCTTCCGGAGACAGTCGTTTCTTGGTGACTTTCGCTATCTCAAATAGTGCTAACGTGAAGATGTTGAGTGAGCCGATCGCAGTCCTCGTCCATGTTATCCAGAACGGTATCTTTCCGAAACCGACTAATAAACTGAATAAATCCCAGTTCGCGGTAGTTTCGGGACTTTTTTTGAACTTAATGGCTTTTTATCCTATCCACGAGAAATGAAATCTTGTGGGGTATTCGTCTCACCGGCACGGTCTCCCATGCTTAGGAGTCTGGCTTTTCCAGCGAGAAGCTTAGCTAAGAGTATACCAATACCAGGATCGACCAGCGTCCTGGTATTGAACTAGTCGCATGGTGGCAAATCTTCGTTTGATCTACAAGGACAACGACTACCTGTGGTGGTGAAAACCTGGGGCAGACTTTGACCAGGGTGACCTCGGGATTCCAGAGAACCACAATGGCTAAACTGCCAAAACTCCGAAAAGTGGAGATTATGGTGGGGCAAGTATCCAAGTAAGTTTAATCTAGTTGTTGCTAGAATATCGTATTAAATTCGTATAACGGTTAATTAGTTAATTACTTATAAACTGCATAGATTAGCTTGTTGTAGATCTACGAATCTAAATTTGTACAATTTTGCCAGGTGAACCTCCACGGTGCCTTCACTTTGAGACGTGAAATGTCTCGAAAATACTATAACGGTGATGCCAATAAACGTATCTTCCAGCGCCATACATTTTTCTTTCTTTTCAACTATCATCGAATCATGGGTTTCCCTTAGTGTTGAAACATGTGCTTCAGTGAATGCTGCAGTTAATAAACTTATTCTCTTAGTACTTACTATAATGCAACGGCATACTATTGAGACGTTCACGATGGTAATGTCGTGTGACGAACGGCTGAGACCATTCTGAGTCTTTGTCGGTTGTGGGCGTCGTACAACTCGAGTACTGCCCAGCCACAAGGGTGTCAGTGTTTGGTGGTCGGTTTCATAGCCTGTGTTCAGTGTACTATCGTGTTACCATTGTTGTGACATGTTGTTATTTTTGTATTGTGATGTCCTGCACCTGTAACATATTCTCCGTAGCATTTCGTCCTGAACTCTCATGAAGTTTGTTTTGAGACTGTTGGTGGTTTATATTACTGTTATTATTAGTACCAAATAGCGTTCTTGTGCACGTCATTGCATTCACATCAGGTCAATAATGAACTGGAATTGCTAGGACTCCACTTCGTCGTTTTTAGGTTCAGTTGGATCGGAGGTTTTCATTCCATTTTGTTAAATTGTCATGAAGTATATAACTCTGTCAATAAATCTTGTCAGCTGCGAAAATACCACGCAGTTTTCCAGTCCTTCTGTCCGTAATTATTTCATTGGAGTTTCTTGTGTCGGCGTAACCGTAGTATAACATTCTAGCCTCCATAATTTCTTCGGCAGTTATTATTCCAGGTAGCATTTCGTATTTGACATTCATAACATCCATCTGAAGTATAGTTGTTCTGTCCTTAATTTAAGCGAGTAGACATCTATCGACTATCTAGCATACTGGTGGACATACTGATTTCCTTTGTGATTTTAATATCTGATTTCATTAGTATTTCGTGTTTGTTTTCAGTGAGGAACCTACATTGGGGTGTTCAAGAATTAATTTCATGTCTATTATGTTTGGGCCGTTCCATAAGGTCCCTAATAGTGGGTAATCGTTTTGTGGTTTGAAAACCCCCGCTTTACGTTTCCGTCTTAAATGCACTAATAACATCCAGTCCCTGTGAGGCTGGAAACCATTTGATGGCATTCTAAAATGTTATGTAGTTTTATTCGTTGTGTTGGGACGTGCACAACAACGCATTTTTTGCAGAGAACAGGAGAGCACTTGTCTTCAAATATGAGAGGAAGGACATTTTCTCACAGAAACGGTGTCGAATGGGATGAAATCTCTTCTTCCTACGTGCAGATTAACATTTATGGTACGAATCTTAAAGATCTCCAGGATAAGGGGGTGGATATCAAACATTTACTGGTGAGTTGTTAATTCATTTCAACATACAAGTAAGGGGCAAAGTTGCATGAGGCATTTAGTCAGGTTCAATATGTATGTACAAATATGCATGTATATAAACAAGTATATGCATATGTATAAATATATACATATATACAGTTCATTTGATAGTACAATACCATGTGTATGTGTATTTACATATATATGTATATATATATGCACATATGTAGTGTATGTATGTAATATATGGAATGTATGGTATGTATGTATGTATGTTATGTTATGTATGTATGTAATCACAATTTTAGTGGTGGTGGACGCGCTACTCCCCGGAAGGGACAATAGCGCGTTCGTTCCCCACCGCATACACTTGCGGTCCGGAGTTTTGCAAATATCTCAGCATCATTGAAGTTATTATGTAATGTATGTATTGTGTGTATGTAATGTATGTAGTGTATGTATGTAATGTATGTATGTATGTATGTATGTACGACCCAACGGTTTACCGCCTCATCGTGGCTGGAAGGTGTTCCTGGGTGTCAGGCTGTGATGTACAACAGAGGTCCATCCCACCAATAGGGTCTCCGAAGCTGAGGAGTACGGCGTTTCCATCAGGAAGCCCAGCTAAGAGTACACCAACAACAGGATCCACCACCGTCCTGGTATGAAAGTCGCATGGTGGCAAATCTCTCTCTGATCCACAAGAGCTGTGACTGGCTGTGGTGGTGAAGACCTGGGGCAGACTTTGGCCAGGCTGACCTCGGGACTCCAGGGAACCGTAATGGCTTAACCAGCAAATCTCCGAAAAATGGAGATTATGCTGGGGCCTGCACAACCAGTGAGGACCGGCCATTCAAGTATCAAGTGAGTATCATTTATGTATGTATATGCATGATAGGCCGCAGTAACAACGTCCGCCATGAGATTAGCCTTAAAAGCAGCTTAACTCCCTCGATCACTCGAGGATTTAAGGAGTTTAGAATTTTATTGATTAGTAAAAGAGACTAAATTCTATCGCATTAGTCACATATACAATTCTTATGCACTGCTCATTCAAATCTAAGTCTGTTTGGAATCAAGACTTCCAAGAATTTGATAACGAACTTTGACTATTTTAAAACTTCCAGCGGGAAGATCACGAGTTGTAAACACAAAGGACACTTTGGGAACGCCAGCATGTTAAGTTGGACGAAATCCCGCCTATTCATTGGTTTTCATCCTTTTCTTATGAGCTTTGGGACGATAAAATGAAAAAAAATAGATATATCGTGAACTCCAGAATACCGGAATTTCCTCATAACAGAGCAAAAGAACTTTTGTTTTGAAGGAAAAGATTTGTAGGATTCAACGATTTTTATTGACGTTGGTAAAACTTACTATTAGCTGATATATATGTTGATTGGAAGTTCAAAACGTCGATCATTTTCGGATCGTATGATGCCTATTGTGGTCACGTCGTGGCGTAGGTGTTAAGCATTTTCACACAAGGATCCATGGATTGGAAATGAATAAACATGCGTTGCTTCGAAAATTAACTTGGATGGCTAAGACGATACAAAATATCGTAACCTCACAAGCCCTCATTTTAACGTTGGATTCTCTTAGTGAATGGTGTTATCGCTAACTGATAATTCCACTACCAAGGTGCTTCTATGGCGTGCACGTGAAGAAGTCACCGCTTTCAAAAGCCATCGCTTCGATAGTCTAATCCACCTACCTTTATGCATCACAAATAGTACGGTTGTATCAATCCAATCCACTTTTCACTTGAAGTCTGCGGAGAATCGATTCCAGTGGTGTCAAAATGAGGTTTTGAAAACTTTTCGACAGTTTTGTTTAATATATTGGTTTTTGTACTCTATACGAGAATTCAGAATATCTGGTCAGTAGTGGAAGTATCGCACTGTCATATAATAGATATCTTCATTGGATTGACAACTGTCGCAAAATGCACCTGGTGTCTGTTTTCTACAAACTCTTTGCCATAGTAGCGTTTAGATAATTGGAAGAGCATTGGGGGTTGATATTCTTCAGCAGTTCTGCGAAACATTCGTCATTGTTGATCAAATACGCATGATTACAGGACTCTTTAAACTTTCGTTATAGGATAATTTATTGATGGACCATACCTTTAGATTGAGAATTCTTTTGACCCTTTTGAGGATAATCGGTCACTGAGCAAGTCTGAAATGACTGGAAATTTTTAGCTCAATACGAAAAAACTTTTCTTTAAACTCTCTGTGGATAAGTTTGTCTGCGGTTTAGTAATGCCTACGAGAGACGATTTTTTCGTATGTTTCGTCTAAATCTCACACTTTGCAGAAGGAACGTCACGAATAAAAAGGAGATTCATGTTGGAAACATTATAATTAACTTAGCGTCATAATTGAACGCGGAAAATTGAGCAGTTTGTTATGCACAGGAAAGTATCGAGATGGACTTGGGTACATGGACGGCCCATCCTCACAGGTTGTGTGGGTCCCAGCATAATCTCGATTTCTCGGAGTTTTGCTGGTTTAGCAATTGTTTTTCCCTAGAGTGCCGAAGTCAACCTGGCCAAAGTCTGCCCCAGGTCGTCGCCACCAAAGGCAGCCACCGCCCTTGTGGATAAGAGGGAGATTTGCCATCAAGCGACTAGTTTGATACCAAGGCGGTGGTGGATATTTAGTATTGGTTATATATAGTATTGGTTTACTCTTAGCTGCGTTTCGTGGTGGAAGCGCCGGACTCCTCGGCTTGGGATACGATGCCAGGGATATGAATCTCCCTGCTATACATCGCAGCCCGACACCCAGGAGCACCTCTCAGCCACGATGAGGCGGTAAACCTTTGGAAGGGTATCCAGATGTAATGACTATCATATAGAACACTACTTTGTCGTCGACTTCTGTAATGTATGCATGAGCGGAGCAAAAGTGGCGTTAACGTTTTGTTTCGTTTCGAAGGCACGTATTCCAGTTCTTAGGAAACCATGCAAAGCAAAAACTATTTCAAGTCACTGTGAACAAAAAGAAGACGAAAAGATTAATATTCCACAGGGTGGAATTATTAATAGTGCGGGCTTTATTGCACTCTTATCACTTGTCATTTAAAGGTGTTAAATATGTAAATTGTTTACAAAATGTGAAATCCTCCTCTAAGGTTTAAGCTGCAACTGCATTGGTAAAGTGTAAGTCCGGTGAGACCGTAAGAACTCATCAGTTTGTGCGTCATAGTGAAATCTGGTGTTTCTACAATGTTGAGTAGATAAAAATCGATCTCGTGTTATGGAATCCGTTCCGTTTATCCAGATTTGTTCAGCAGCATATTGGATTTCGTTCTGTCATCATGGATATACCTGTTCTTGGTTCGGCTCCTTTAAAGTTCTCAGTGGAAGGAAGCGTCCGCCGTGCAAAGTCATTCGGAGGTTTCCTCACTCACGGCCATTCTTATTCGAAAAATGTAGGGATTAGTGTTTTAGAGAAGTACCTTTGAATTAATTGAAATCATATTATTCTGTGTGAATTGTGATTGTTTGCAGCATTAAAGTGACTGATTATAGAGTTTTGGCCGTCCATATTCACGCGCCAGCAATAGACTGCGTCATAAAGTTCTTCAGAAATCGGCAAGTACTAATGTGCCGCACTTTGAAGTGTGTATTAACATATCTTTTAGGCTTTGTACACTTTATGAGAGTACTTTTTGTAAACAATGGCGCATTTTTCCTTCTTTCCAGGATAGTGCTGTGAGTCACTATCAGGATGATATGAACACGAATTTAACAACACCTATGAACAGTTCCAATACTTCGTTGCCTAAGAAGGAGAGTGAAGACCGCGCTGGTGTGTCTTAGAGAGTTTCTTTTCCTTATTAGAGTATGTAAAACTCATATTTCCCACGTATCTCTTCTAGGCTTTCTCATTCTCCGCTTCTTTTCTGTGTTTCACACTTTTTCATGTTTTTTATACTTAGGAGCTTGTACTAGGTTTTATTTTTAATTCAAAGTGTATATCTCAAAATATGTTCTCCAGTTCCTCTGACATCCACCCCACTGACTTCCAAACGGTTCATTAGCTTCGGGCGTTTTATTGGCAAACCATCACGCACTACGCCTGACCCTGGTTTGTTGAATTCAGTTCTGAATCAAGCATTTCTAACAGAATTTATTTTCGTTGTATACAGAAGGTTTGTGTTCACTGACCATATTCCTTTCTGAAAATGCTTTGCTTTTAGTGGACACCGATTTTCAATGCGTTGCTGATTGCTACCAAACGCGGCAATATGATGTCCAGCAGGTTTGTTGGAAGATTATTTTATGGTGTAAGTATTCATTTATGTTTTTAGCATGATGTTGCGAACTTGTTTTTTTAAGACTTCTTTGAAACTGAGACAGTCACGTTAGAAGGAGACGTAAAAACTACGTGTTATAAAAGTGGTATTTCATTGTAAATATACCGTTTCCCAGCATTGCTTACTTGATACTTGGACGGCCCATTCTCAATGATTGTGCGGGCTCCAGCATAATTTCCATTTCGAAGTTTTACTGGTTTAGCCACTGTGGTACCCTGCAGTCCAGAGGTCAGCCTAGCGATGGTCCAACCAGGTTGTCACTACCACAGGTAGTCGCCGCCCTTGTGGATCAGAGGGTGATTTGCCAGAATGCGACTAGTTTGGTACCAGGATGGTGACGAATCCTGGTATTGCTTTACTTTTAGCTGGGCTTCCCGATGGAAACGCCGAACTTCTTAGCTTGGAAGACCCTACCAAGGGGATGAATCTCTTCGCTGTACATCGCAGCCCGATGCCTAGGAATATCTCCCATCGGCGATGAGGTGGCAAGCCATTAAGAGGCTTAGGACTACATTATGCATGAAGTTTAAATTCTTTATTTTAATTGGCATTGTAATTATTTGCCAGTAAACTTTACTTCCTAATGCTGTGTATGTTTTTAACTCGAGTTCTGATGTGAAACGCGAAAAAAGCGCGTAATCTGAGGTTTTATATTATTTATAATGTGATGGAGATCACAATTTTACTTATTATTGGTGGAACTTATGCTAAGTCTTTACCATGATCATGGATTATTTTAGGTCACGAAACACGCACTTCAATATGAGCCAAACCGTTCCCTTACGGAAAATCTAAATAATCTTGACAACAAACTGCTTTCGAAAAACATCACCACTGCGGCGGCTGACGTCAATATTTTTCAAAACTCTCAAGAAAGCATGGTGAATACACCTGCCATTGATGGTTACGCAAACGCTTCCCTGTCATTTGAATGTCCACTTTCTCCTGTTAATGATACAGCACCACGTGTTGAAAGTTGCCCAAAAACTCCGTTGTCTTCATCAACTTCACCTGAAGAAGAATGTTTTGAAGATATTGGTAACTTTGGTGGTGCTAATATAACAGATCAGTCATTTATATCGTTTTCGCGGGAAATTGTATCAGGTTTGCAGTCCATTAATGCAACCCCATTGTCGTCTTTGGGTGATGACGTGATTTGCAACGAATTGAATCAACAGTGTTGTAATAGCGAACATAAATCACACGAAGGCATCAAATCCAGAAACATCTGCGATTTAGAATTGGAAGATTGTGTATTGGGATCTGTTGAAATCAATGAAGAGAATGTCTGCAGTTCTGAAGTTGGACGTCGAAGTGATGTAGCGGATAAAGGAGACGTTGTTGAGGATATCGATGGAAATCAGTTGCTTCCACACTCCTCTATAAAGTTAGAAGTTCAAGAGCTAGGAGAAGCGTTGAGTTCTTCACATCGATCTTCTTGCGAAGTCGTTTCACTCCAAAATGCTAATTTGGAAAATGGTAAGTGTTGTTAATGAACACTTGTTACACTGCTATTGAATCTATTTTTGATTTTAAAGGTGTGTTTAATGAGGCTGATGGAGATCCCATTACAAAATCCGGTGGTTCTAAACGGTCACTCCGTCGTAAACGTGCTCGCCCAATGTCAAATGATTCTGTAAGAGCCACACTCATATCTTAGGAATAGTGGTTTGAATATTAATGATGTATTGGATGCTTTTTGTTTTCCTATCTATTAAAGGCGACCTGAAACCAATATAGAGTTTGAAAGTTAACTTAGTCACATTTGTTGTCCAGGTAGCATAAGTTAAGGTCTTGATAGGTATATTCTTTACCTTTTTTATTTTCAAGGACAAGTGCAGATGCAAATGTTCGGTGGCTAAGTTAGATAGACAAACAAAGATCTTCCGCTGTCAAATGCCGGTCTGTCTTTATATTTTTTTTTAACGTTTGTATGTGCGATAACATATTCACAGTGTCTCAGGTAAGAAATTTAAATTGGAAGGTGCGAAGTGTTTTTAACACACTTTAAACCATGGCACAATTTCACTGAAGGCTTAGTTTAACAAGGGCTATTTTCACCCTTTTCTATAAGTAGGTTTTCTGAAGTTTTTTTTCTCACTAATCTACAGATTTTTATGTTCTGCGCACCCTCAATATTTTCCGACCTTCTTTTCCATACTTTTTCAAACAATTTCATTTCCTGTTTTGGTAACTAACAAAAACTTGTTCACCATCCAGTGAGAGAGCTTTCAACGGTCTTTGGTCGGTATTTTCGCAACACATTTTGAGTTATTTAGGTGTTTTAACTACTTTTTGGTGTACTGAATGCGCATTGGTTAAAGATGTTATTCAAAGTACAGATGGTCGCAATCTGTCTCATGCCAATTGAGACCCCGACTGGCAAATCTGTGCTGGACTCGTCATCGAAAAAGCTGTCTTCGATTCACAAAGTCTTCCGACAGCTTGTGGTGTGGATCTGAAATGCCAAAGTTTGAAGCGTAAAGATGTCTCAGGATCCTAGGGGTAATGAACACGGTCAGACTCCAATGACATTCATGAAGAAAAAGTCATCAATTTATTGCGAAACGAATGCGCAGATCTGAAGACCTTCGTGGGTGAGGAATGCCAAATAACGAACCGAACGGAAGAAGTGCTGGGGTTCATGTCTTTATGTGTACAATATGTAGAGAAGAGTCATTAAATATTTGAATGAAATGAGCGGTGGAGTTTTAGAAATTTCAAATAGGAAAGGTTTTTGGAAGTGGAATTTTAGGGATTTTTTGTGTATCTCCACATATGGTAACTATGTCTCATCTATGCTGCTGAAAAGAATGGAACAACCAATCATTGGTTAAGAATTGCTTCCATAGAAGAAGGTAGATTTGGTGTGGTTCAGTAATGGATGGTCAAAGTTTGGTGCCTAATGCACATTAGATTTTTAATGACAATGAATTTCGAGTGGATGAATTACTTTTCCTTGGAAGCGCGAACTAGTACATTTTTACCATTATTTTCTTAAGATATTGCAGCATATATTTGGGACTTGGTAATGAAAGAGAAGGAAGAATACGAGCCGGAGAAGGACAAGTCCAGGAATCCGACCGACGAAACGAGAAGGACGACTAGAAATAGCTGAGAGACGTGCGAAACAAAGGACCCGCATGGTGTGGTGGTGAACGCGTTACTCCCCGGAAAGGATAATAGCGCGTTCGTTCCCCACCATAGACACCTGCGGTCCAGAGTTTTGCAAATATCTCAGCAACATTGTGGTTGTATTTCGCTTAGTAACCTGCCATGAAAATTATAGAAGGCAGAAAACAAAACGTTAAAAATCCGACTAGTGTTAAGAAAATGAAGACTCATTGCACTCTGTCTTCATGGAAAAATCATGAATCAGTGGTAATGAGGCTAGTGGACGGCTAACTGGAACAAGGAAGACATATCCCGATAACTGGAACGCAACTGTTTTTTTTCACTGAGAAGTTACTTAGGAGAAATATTTCTATGAGTGACATAAACAAGAAGAACAGGAAAGAACTACTCAACATATTCATGACGCAGTGCGTTTAGTACCCGCCGCTTGGGACAGCGCAATGTTTTCAGCCGTTAGGGGCGCGCTGATTTTCCTAATATCGACCGTAGTTGGTCACCAGTATCATCCTCGAGTGACTCGAGCGGGCGCCATTAAATCTTCCATTTTACCCAGTCTCACGCAAGACTATCCCATTAGGTTCTGCTTACTCTAAAGACTCTTTGAGCATCGTATCTTTCTTCCAGGGTTTTCGTTAAGAGCTCTGATCACCAGGTCGGTGGTCTTCCTGCTGTGTTTGGTATCACACGGAATCCCTTGGCTAGTGGCATTTTGTCCATCGGTTGTCGTTCATAGCTATTACGTCTCGAGCTCATCTTATCTTCGAAATTTTGGCGTATGAAACGGGATCTCTAATTTTTGATCGTTGAAGTCTCAATTCCGTGGTAAGGACTCCTAGCATCGTCCTTTAGGTTGCGCATTCGATAACGCTGAGTGATCTTTCATCCTGCTTACGCAGCGGCCAGGTTTCTGACGCATATCTTAACGCAGGAAGAAGCGTAGAGTTAAAAGGTGGGCATGGAGTCTGGTGTTCTTTGTTCTATTTACTACATCCTGAATTCTCTTGAAAGCTCCCCATCGTGCTTGCGTCTTTCGGCTCAACCCTGGAGCTAAGTCGTTCATCAAGCTGATTTACCGGTCCAGAAGGACGTAACTAGAGCATTTAAGGATATTCATTTCCCTGAGCGTGAACGGAGGAAATATAACCCATCCGTTCCTCTTGAACATCGTTTTTGTGATTTAATCGAAGACCGTTCTCTCATAAAGCGCTATCAAGGTCGGTAAGCTTCGCCTATATTTGGTGTTACAAGAACGAAATCATAAGCAAAGCAAAAATGGTGTAATTTCTGACCACTTTCCACTCCCGTGTTGTCCTTGTCCCATTGCAGTGTTCGTATGACATGGCGGTAAACAATTTTGGCGAGGGAGTATCGTCTTGTGTAACAGAACTTTTAACGTCGATGTTAATATTGTTAAAGAATGATGATATCACGGTTGTGAAATTTTTATATGGCACAAAGAATCTTTATATACTGAGTAAGGACGTCATGGTTTCCCAGAGTTTCCAACGTTTTAGCTGAGCCAAAAGCAATTGCCACGACCGACCTTCTACTATCCTAGGCATATATCGAATAATTCTTGACATTCTTTTTGAGCAAACATGGGGTGTCACTTTATTCTTCACTCCAGTAAACCTTCCAGGTTCTGTCGAATGCGATACCGCCGAAGCGCCAGCTTTACTGGAATGAAGAATAAAGTAACACGTTGTGTTTGCTCAACAAGAATATCGAGAATTATTTGTGTCTAAAGCTTTCTTTAAATTGATCAAAGTGAAACAAAGAGGTCTGTTATACTCTCACGATACTTCGACGAGTCATGCTATTGTATGAATGTTGTCCATCATACTGAATCCCTTCCGAAACCCTCCTTCTTCACATGGTTGGTCCGCTGTTCTGCCAACTCTATTAAGTATGGTTCGAGTGAAAAGTTTGCAGACGACAGATAGTAAGCAGATTGGGCGATAGTTGCCGATGTCGTGGAAGTCAGCCTTTTTGAACAAGAACACGATCTTACAGGCCTTCCATTGAATAGGAACCTTGTATTCTGTCAGGTAACGTGGAATGAGCCGAGCCAGTATGTTTACGAGGACTGCCGGAAGATTCCTGAGGTGATGAAATCTTACCCTTTCCGGATCTGGTGTTCTTCGATTCATCTAACCAACGAAATAGCATGTTGAATTTTGGAAGGGAGAATCAATGGTACGACATATACTTACTTACTTGGTACTTGAACGTCCCGTCCTCACTGGCTATGAGGACCCCAGCATAATCATCACTTTTCGGAGATTTGCTGGTTAAGCCGCTGCGATTCCCTGGAATCCCGAGGTCGGCCTGGCCAAAATCTGCCCACAGGTCGTCACCACCACAGGCAGTCGCAGCTCTTGTAGATCAGAAGGAGATTTGCCACCATGGACCTAGTTTGAAACCAGGACGATGGTGGATTCTGGTAGTGGTATTGCTTTACTCTTAGGTAGGCTTCCTGATGGAAACGCCGAACTCTTCAGCTTGGGAGACCTTACCAGGGAGAAGAATTCCCCCGCTGTACATCGCAGTCCAACACCCAGGAACACCTCCGAGCAACGATGAGGAGGTAAACCGTTAGGAAGGTGGACGACATAAATATATATATATATATTATTGAAGAAATCCGAGTATCAGTCGTAAATGATTTTCTTCACTGCTTTTCTGGAAGCTGCGGCTGTTCAGTTTGGGTGTCGGAGTGGAATCATCTTAGTTTTGTAATCGGTGATATTTCGGCGGGCTTTGCAAATGTTTTTGTCAACCTTTGCAGTTACGACTATAGCATCTTCCCAACAGCCGACTTACGAACTGAATAAATCTCGTTCTATTGCGGTCTTAAGACTAGTTTTTTAAATTAGCAGGTTTTTCTACTTTTGGCGAGAAACAAAATATTTCATGAAGGAGGCGATGGTCTTCCCGCGTAAAATTTTAGGACAACAGAGTAAACGCTTAGGCAAGATTTTCGATTTACGATAATGTGGTCTTCTTCGTTATGATGCTCTTCATTGCTGAATTCGTTGGGAGCGGGCTTCTGGATTTGCGAGTTACCGTGATTGATCTTGATCGTTGTGATAAACTCAGACGGTCAGCTAACTTGCTCGGTACATTTTAATCCGTGGGTCTCAATATGACCTTCTTCAGACATTTAACTGGGCCCAGTCTCAGCGTTAAGATCTCGAGTAATGATCTTAATTAAAGAATGCATGGTCTTCTTTGTATAACTTCTCATATAGAACGCTTCCATTTCGTCTTTGTCATAGCTCGATGTTGGTGCGTAGATGATGATTTCCAAAGCAGGCAATCAGCCAAATTAATCCACATTTCTTCAACCGTAAACGTTCGATTCGGGTTATTAATTGTTCGGAAGAATAGATGTCCGTGGCCAAACGCGTGTTGACCGGAACGCTGACGCTTCGCATCGCATAAACGATACCAGACCGACACACACATGCGTGTACATGACTTCGTAAGCACATAACCAATCTGTGAAATTGGCGTAGTAGAAAC